AACTATTTAAATGCTAGCTATTTCAACGTTAACATTAATAATAAAGTTGAGACTGGCAGGAGGAAGGAAAACAAGATGGCATAGATTCCTGAGTCCATGTTGAAAGGACAAGATATGTTTAATTAACAAGAAGATTAATGAAAAAAATACAGTAGTTGCTTTCAATCAACTGAAGGTTTATTGTTTGGAGGAAGAATTGGGCTGGTTGTCTTTTGCTGTGGAGAACAGAACCAGAGGTGATGGTTAGAAGATGTCAATACACAATTCTTGCATGATATCAGGAGAAAGTTCTTAACAATCCAAATAAAATAGTCTTCCTTCCAAGGTCATGGGTTCTATTTGGAAGTCTTAAGCAGAGGTTGGACAACCATTTGTCAGGAACATTATGGCAGGTATTCTTCTTATGTGTAAATGGTGAACCATTCCATTATCTTTGCCAAAAAAAAAAAAAAACCCCAATTGGGGGCACGAAGAAGCAGATAGGACTGAAACGACTGAACAACAACAACAACAACAACATGAATTGTACTAGATGGTTGCTAAGGTCTTAAATACTTTGATTCTTCAGACAACCAGGTTGTACAGTGGAGAGAGTACTAGACTTGGAATCTGGAAGACCTGGGTTCAAAAGTGGACTCAAGAACTCTAGCTGTGTGAGCCTGGGTAAGTCACTTAACCATTACTTCAGTTATATCATTTGTAAAATGGGGATTATAACCACACGTACCTCCCAGAGTTGTTGTGAGGATCAAATGAGATAATATTTGTAAACCACTATGTACAATTTAAAATGCTATATGAATACCGTTGTTGTTGCTGTGTTAATAGCCAAAATTAAAACTGAACTTTATAGCAGTCCTTTCACTTAAGTATGTGAAAAGACATTCCTCTCTTTCCTACAGGGCCACCATGATGGGAAGTCTCATTTTTAGATAGGTATTTTTATCCATGAATTGAAAGTTTTTAGTAGTACAAAGCAATGTAAACATGTTAATAAAATATGTATATATTTATATGTGTATATAAACATAGATATCATTTGTATCCCTCTTCTAACATAAGGTATTTCTAACTAAAATTACACAAAGTGTATATACACACATACATACATACATACAAAGTGCTTACATGAATATCATCATAGTATTTAGCAAGGAACATATCTACATTTTTGTTTTTAAATTATATTTGATTTTTTTAATTAATAAAAATAATTTTTCTCTCCCTTCCACAACCTCCTCCCCATTAGTGAAAAAAAAAGAAAAATAAGAAACAATGTTCTTGTAAGGTTTGTTGTGAGGATAAATTGTAGTAATATGTATGAAGCACTTCAAAAACCTTAACTCCCTATATAAATGTTAGCTATTATTACTACTAATTATTCTCAGTGTAACAAATATACATAGTCAAGCAAAATTAATTCCTCCATTGGCGGTATTCAAAAGATATATGTCTCAACCTGCACCTGAATCCATCACATCTCTGTAAGGAAACAGGTAGCATATTTCATCATGGCTCCTCTGGAATCATGGTTGATCTGTGCATTCATCAGAGCTCTTAAGCCTTTCCAAGTTGTTTGTCTTCACAGTATTTCATATACACAAATACATGTATGCATGTATACATACATATGTAGTATAAACATGGTATATGTAGTACATACTACATATAGTATATATATAACATAAGTTACATAGAATATAAATTATTATAGTATATATGATGTCAATTATTGTACAAATTATTCTTGTATAAATTATTCTTTTGGCTCTTTGCACTTCACTATTATCATCAGAAAAATTAATCCTACAGATATCAACTTCCTTCTTAAATGACTTTGATTTGGAAAATTTTATTTCAAAAAGCCATTTCAGCTTTCATGGGATGGACATGCTGGGAAAGCGATCAGTTACCTCCCTCGGTACCTTTCTTTCCAGCTTAATTTTAGACCATTTCCTTTTCCTCTTCTTCCTTTTTTAGACTCCATTTTTGAGTTAAAGCCTGTAGTATCTGGCTATCTAAATGAGATCCTACTGTGTATTTTTACATCTCTGCAAATAAACTTCAGATCGGAAGCTTCCTACACCAAAGTCAGATTAAAGTGATAAATACAAGAGGGATGCCTGAGGCTCTGAAAATTTGAGTGACTTGCCCAGGGCCACACAGCTATTAACTTCCAAATACACAGGCCTTCCTGACTCAATCTAGCACTCCTGCCACCCCAACAAGCTAGCTTTAATCATTTTTTAAAAATAAAATAAGTTTGTTTTTGTTTTGTTTTAAGACACATCCCAAAAGCTATACCCTAGGCTATTTTAAGTTAGTAAAGTATATTCTTACTCAATTACCAAATCACAGAATTTTAAGAACCAATTAGTTCCTTCATTGTTTCTGTATACAATGCTTCTGATATTTAAAAAAAATAAAATAAACTGGGAGGTGTGTCTCAGAAAAACAACTTCAAAATTTAGGGGAAAAAGATATCATTGATTTGTTTACTTTTGCCAATCTCATGATAATGATTTTTTTGGGGGGGGTTTGGCAGTTGGGGTTAAGTGACTTGCCCAGTGTCACACAGCTAGTGTCAAGTGTTTGGTCTGAGGCCTGATTTGAACTCAGGTCCTCCTGACTTCAGGGCTGGTGCTCTATCCACTGCGCCAACTAGCTGCCCCCCATGATAATGATTTTTAAAGGAAAAGGACATCATTTCTTATTCACACTCAAAGTTTGTATGAGCGCTTGTTAAATATGAAAAAAAAAGAATGGAGTGGCTTTTTTTTTTAATTTGGAAGGGAAATTCATCCCATAAGCATGTATGGAAGAGAATTATTAGTTGCTTTGAATTATAAATTTATAATACTTTCATTTTGCTGCTTAAGATAAGAAATCTGTGAAAAGTTTTGCTATGTGAATGATTTCTCCATCCCAGGACACTGTATAGAATGGCTACAGAAATGAACTCTTTTTTTGCTTTGATAAAGCAGTTAATCCAACTTGAAATGTTTTCTGTTAAGTCCAGGCATTTTGAAATATCATTTCTTTCAGGAAATGTCTTGGATAATTCTGACCAGAATCAATAATCATAAAGCATTTACTAAACACATACTAAATGCTTGGAATACAATGAATAGGGAAATATAGTATCTGACTTCAAGAAACTTGTCTGTGTGAGAATATACACACACATATATATATTGGTATATATGTGTATGTACATACATATTTGTATATTATACATGTCCATGTGTATATATGTATTTGCATACACATACAATTATATATAGGTATACTTACATATATTCAGTAGTTTTTAGTTGTGTCTGGCTCTCTGTGACCCCATTTGGGGTTTTCTTGGCAAAGATACTAGAGTGGTTTGCCATTTCCTTCTCTAGCTCATCCTACAGATGAGGAAACTGAGGTAAACAGGGTTAAGTGATTTGTCCAGGGTCACACAGCTGGTTAGTATCTGAGGCCAGATTTATCTCTATCCACTGTACCACCTAGTTACCCTACTATCCCTAAGACTACATTATTATTCATCATTCAGGGCACCTCCCTATTGCCCAGCAGATTGTTACTCCAGAAGAAGATAAAGATTGTAATATTCCTAGGTCATCATTAACCTGACTTTAATCCCAAAGTCATTCCACCTGACAACTGCAACCTTTCTATGAGGCTCTTTCAGCATATGAAAATTATTTTCTGCATTTAAGAGGCTTTGCTTGATTACTAGGCCTAGGTTAACCTTCTATTCCTTTCTACAAAAAAAAAAAAAAAACCCATAGTAGGGAAAAAAAGATTTTGCCTCACTGAGTTTTAGGACTTCAGAACAATAACAAGGGTTCTTATTTAGATTCTTTTAATAATTGGAAAATGCTCTTATGCTATTTAATAAATGTGGGGGAAAGCATTGCTAATAATAGTATCAGGGTATCTAGGTAGCACAGTGGAAAGAGTACCAGGCCTGGAGTCAGAATGACTCATCTTTCTGAGTTCAAATCTGACCTCAAACACTTACTAGCAATGTGATCCTGGGCAAGTCACTTAATCCTGTTTGCCTCAGTTTCCTCATCTGTAAAATGAGCTGGAAAAGGAAACAGCAAACCACTCCAATATCTTTGCTAAGAAAACCCCACGTGACTTCACAAAGAGCCAGACATGACTGAAAAGACTGAACAGCAACAGTATCACTGGCAAAAACAGAGAATTCTGTAGACCGAAATAAAGGTTTTCAAGCAAAAACATTCAACATATCACCATTTAGATGAATTTTGAATATGGAAAAATCAGAAAAAATTAGATTATTATCCTTATGCTTCAACTAAATGTATTTATAAACATTTTGAACTCAAGGAATTTGAAACAATTTTAGAACAATCATAATTGTGGTTCTCCAATATCAACATTCCTAAGAGTGAGGCTTGGCATTTTTTTAGGCCCTGAGCGTCCTACATGTACCCATTTTTACCACTGATTGACGTACCTATATACCAATAAGTCACTATATATCCAACAACTGGCTTTTCAGTTTACATTTAGAGTTAGGCATACAAGGTTAGCAAACAGTTTAGCAATCTTTTTTTAAATTCAAGTATTCAATTAGCAAACTTTACTAATCACAGTTTCCTTGTGATTGATAAGTCCAGACCATCTGCTGACTAACTATTCTAGACCTCCCTCCTACAAAGTCCCTGTAAATCTTCCTAGTGATAGCAAACAGATAGAAGGCTGGAGGATCTAGGAAAACAGGGCTCTTGATCTGGATAAGCCTAGAGTCCTCATCATCATCGTGTGCCTGTGGATCTGCAGGACCAGGGAGCCATGCACAGGTTTACAATCCTTTGTGTAATAAACAGCTTGCTTCACATACCTTGGAGCGTTCACATTCCTTTTCAGTCTCTCTTCACCCACGGTTCCCTCACACTAAGATTAAAATCTCGATTTTTCATGGTGAATATGAATAGAATTTTTATATGAAATCATGCTTGAGCAGTACTTACAGAGCAGTCTTTATCAGCATTTCTTTTCCAATGTTTCTTCTCTAATTTCTTACTTGATGTGGAATGCAGAGCGGCATAATTTTGCATCCGAGGATTTAATCCCAGGATATTCTGTATAAAGAGAAAAGAAAGCTCAATATTTCATATTTAAAAGTAACAAAAATTTAAGCAAATCAATTTATTTCCTTGTCTTCAAAAATGGATATACCATGTATATAATAAGAATCAAATGTGAATATATACATAGCAATTACATTGACCTTGCTAAGTAACAAAAAAATTTAAGTTAAACTACACTCTGTTCATGCAATATTTTCCAAACTTTGAATTTTATCACCAATATTTTTCATACTGCTACATTGCTGTAATAATGCCTAAATATCCAAAGAATCAAAATTACAGGTCACTTGAAGGTAACAGAAAACTCCATGCTGGGTGTAAAAAGCTTTCAGCATATAATAAGAATTGCACAAAAGAAGAGTGTAAGAGATAATCTGAAAGAATTGTATGATGTAGCATGACTAGAAAACAGGAAGAGCCAGTCAGAGTAGAAGCAAGCAATTACATTAGAAAGTAAGTATATTGTAAGTAGAGACTGTTTCATTCCTTGTACTTGTACCTTGAACACCTAGCAAAGTACTTGGAAAATAATAGGTGCTTAAAATATTTTTGATTGATAATAGACAGTCTGTATTATCCATTGGTACCTATTTAATATCAAGAAACCTAAAGAAAACCCTAAATTAGACCCTCTATGGGGGTCTATGGAAAATATAGGCAAGACTCAGAGTCACCAAGGTTGAGAAGGAATGAATTGGTTGAGATTGGCATTTGGCCATCAGTCTTGAAATGTTCAAAACAATTGGGAGTAATACACTCCGAAAAGATCATAGTATCATAGATCTAACCCTGGTAGGATTATTTAGTTCAATTTTATAGACAAAAGCACAAGTCTATCAATATTAAGTGTTGTAAACAAGTTCACAAATGTACTAACTGATAGAGCCAAGAATTAATATAGGTTTTCTGACTTAAAACATAGTAGTCATACCCCTGTTCCACTCTACTTAATGACAAGGAATGTAAGTTCGAGGTATAGACAAGTCATTCAGTAAGTTTGGCAGGGAAAGAAAAAGGAGATGGTAGTTTCAGTAAGCAACAGGTTCCCCCTCCTCACTCCCCCACCCCCACCCAGGATAGGGTAGATGGTATATATTTGAAAGTAGAAGGAAGAATCAGTGGAGAGGGAGAAATCAGACTGCATAATATGCTATAGGGAGAGAACATCTGAATGGGCAAGGCCTACGTGGGGGTGAATAACATTGAGAATACTGGATATCAATTAGTTTTATAAAAGAACAGTGACACCTTTTAGAAGAAAAATAGAAAATAAGAAAGTACAAAAATAGAGACATTTTGAAATGGAAACTAGAGAAGATAAGGAACTCAACAGTCTCACTCTTGGCAAATTAGCAAGAGGTGGCCAACTGTTAGCAGGAAGAATATATTTACATAGCTAGGCATTGTCAGTGAAAACAATGCAGTCCCTCCAGAAATGTGGTGGTATTAAACAAGATAGTTAACTTGTTATCTTATCAGGGTAGAGGCAGCTAGGTGACACAATGGTGGAGTCAGGAAGACCAGAAGTTTAAATCTGGCCTCAGACACTCATTAGCTGTGTGACCCTGGGCACGTTGCTTAATCCTGTTTTCCTGAGTTTCCTCATCCCTAGATTGAGCAGAAGAACATCGCAAACCACTCCAGTATCTTTGCTAAGAAAACCCCAATAGTTGGACACGACTAAATGGCTGAACAATAACATTTGTGTGACCCAGGGCAATTCACTTAATCTCTCTCTCCCTCAGTTGCCTCAACTTTAAAATGGGGATCACTATAACAGTTACCTCACAGTGTTGTAAGGACCAAATGAGATATTTGTAAACTGCTGAAGATGGTGCTTGGCACACAGTAGCTGCCTGTTAAATGTTCCTTTCTTTTTCTTCGATTGGACTATGGTCTGCTTCATTCTTGGTACTACAGGTCCCAATGCTAAGACCACTTTTTTTTTTTAGCTGCCTTGAAACACTATTCCCTCCTATTCAGCTTGCACTCTAACAAAACTCCTAGAATTTTCTTTTTTTTTATATGAAGAAATTTCTATCAAAGAACAGTCCTGTCATGCCTTCCCAATCCTATACTTGTGAATTGGGTTTTAAAACTCAAATTTAGGTGTGATATTGAGCACCTCCTGCCATGTTTTTGTCTCTGTACTGCAGTCATCACAGAAGTGGAAGGACAACACATAGGACTGAGGGTCATTAGTAAATATTCATTACCACACCCCATTCTGTATCCTGCTAAAAAAAATTCACCAAAAAAAAAAAAAAAAGCAAACTATACATCAACAGGTGGCTGAAATTTCAGTGATGAGTCTCTCCACAGTTAGGTAGGATATGATGAAAGCACTCACATTCTCTTTTACCAGATCCACATTTCAAATCTTGCCAGCTTCTTAGAATCTTTCTGAACCTGGTTTTTTTTCTGAGTTATTTTTTGTTCTGTTTTGTTTTTGCTTTGCTTTTTTTTGTTTTAGCCTTCAAAAGCATAGGTTCATCCTTATACCACACTGAGAAATCACACTACAGAATATGTGAAGGTTTCTGGTAACTGAGAATTCTTTTCTTCAGTAAGTCTAAGACTTATCTAAATATGGCCACTATGTCACCTAAGGAATAATCACTGCTTTTATCACAGTAATGATTAATATCATGCTTTCTCGAGATAACAATGCTGAATCTGAATGGATCAGTGTTCATATATCTAAATCATCCATTCAAAAAGGCTGAAATGACCAGATTGGGTCTGAGGTCACAGCTCGGTTACTTTGATTGCATAGACATAGACTGTGTGGTGTTGCAGTCAGTTCTTTATAATACAAGGCAGTTAATTCAACCTGTTGATGATTTAGAATATTCTTTTTACTATATAACATAAAACCAGGGAACTTAATTCCACATTTTTTTCTATGCTTACTAGGAAAGAAGGTGGCCTTCCCTATTGTAGTTCAGACTAACAGTCATGATAAAAAAAAGGGTCACAGTAGAGAAGAAAGGGCAAAGGATCTAGACACAAGAAAATCTCGGTTTAATATGAGGCTTGTCACTTACAAGCGGTGTGACCTTGGTCAAGTCACAAGCTCTCAGCTTCAGCCCCTTTAAATGTAAGATGATCATTATAATACAAGAATAATCTACCATGCAGGGCTGTTATCAGGATGAAATGGGAAAATGTGTGTAACATAGCTTATAAATTATGGAGCATTACATAAAAGTGAACGGTATATAAGCACAAGACCAGAAATGTGTCATCATCTAAACAAGGATGTCTTCTGCTCCACTAGCACTGAATTCAGGAAAGATGGTTCAATTTAATTCATTCCACTTTCATGTGATTTTCCAAAGTGATTTAAATTCCATGCAACTGATTAGCAGTGAAATTGGGTTAACAGACTGAATCTCCAAGGGATTTATTTTTTAGAGTCAGAAACATCTCATTTAGACATCATTGTTGATTGCAAAATAAGCAAATTTTGATCACGGAGGATGGCCCATCAATTTCATCTTTGATAGTGGTGCCAAGAAATGTTTATTCTCCTCGTTTTTCCAAACCAAAAGGATTAGAGATGTATAATATTAACTTTTTCTAAAGTTGTTATATTTACATTATTTTTTTCTTTTATTACCTGTAAAGGTTTTACAAATCCCAAATATTTTCTACACAGTTTGTGAAATAGTACTTATTTTCACTTTATGACTGTGCATTTGCCTGAAAATCATCTGAAGGTACTTTAATGCCTTTTCATACAGATTTTCCAAATCTCATGCAGATCATCCCTGTTGAACAGCAGACTGGTGGGTAGGCTGGGAAAGCCCCGAACAGAGTAATGAGAGAATTGGGTTTGAATATGGATTGGACTGGATAGCCCCTGAAGTCTCTTCCATTTCTTAAATATGTGTTCTAAGAATCCGTAAACACTGCCTCTGGCTGTGTGATAGCGGGAAAATCATTACAAAATATTTTAACTTCGGCTTTCAAATATGAAAACTAGAGACAGCTAGGGGATACGGTGAATAGAGCACTGGGTCTGGAGTAGAGAAAACCTGAGTTCAAATGTGGACTCAGACACTTATCAGTTATGTGACTTAGGGCAAGTCATTTGACTTCTATCTGCCTTAGTTTCCTCATCTCTCACAGTTCTGGAGTATAAAATGAACTATTTGTAAAGCACTTTGTAAAACTTAAAGTGCTATATAAATGCTAGCTATTCTTTATCATTAAAGTGTAGGTGCTACTACAAATATTATCTACCTCATAGAATTCTTGTTAGAATCAAATGAGATGTCTACAGAACTTTGTAGAATTTTAAAATATTTAAAGGGAGTTAAATGGGAAAATGGATAGGATGCTGGACTTGAGGGACAGGAAGAGCCAAGTTCAAATTCTGCTTGAGATACTAGCTGGGTGACCTTGGGTGACAATAATAATGCCTACCCCCCAGGGATGTTGTGAGGACCAAATGGACATGAAGCACTTTGCAAACTCTCAAGTGCTAGCAAGGATACAATTAGGATTGAATTTCCATTTCACTGCCAGATTCTTTAGTGGAAAGAACAGTGGATTAAGAGTCAGCACAGCTACATCGTTATTCTGGCTATACCAACAGTCAATAAGTCAGTACAAGAACATTTATTACATGCCTACTGTGTCCCATGCATGGTGCTAAGGGCTAGGGAGACAAAGAAAATCAAAAACCAGTCCTTGCCCTCAAGGAGCTCACAGTTTAATGAGGAAGACACCTAAAAACAACTATGAACTGCCAATGAAAAGGTTCACAGTCCAGAGAGGGAGTTGCTTCTTTGGGTAACAAGAAGGCCAGTATCTCTGTATTGCAGATATTACGTGTGTGCTTGTGTATTTATTATTATTATCTGTATTACTCTCCTCTCCTCTCCCTTTACCTGAGGTCTTTTTGCCCAAAGAAAGATAAATTTGATGGTCGAAAGCTACTTAGTTAACTTCTGGTTTATTGGTTAGATTTCCTTCTTAAAGAC